TCAGGGCAAAGATTTTTACGAACCCAGTAGTTAACTTTTGGAATAAACTTCCTTCTGGTTTAGTGAAGCCTAAGACCGTAGAAGCCTTCAAAGGGGCTTAGACGAAGGTTGATCCATCTTTTTCCAGAGATATTGTTGTTGTACTGCAATATGTTGTGTATTTTGATGCTGGCATACGAAAGTGAAAAGATTACTCTTGTTCTTGCTCTATTCCATTGCAGAAGCAAGAAGAGACAATCCAACGTCAAAGTGCCGGGGGCCGCTTCAATTACCAACACAAGAACTGGACGTTAATTAGGCGGAAGACTCTATCGACTGTTTGACCTGTCCTGACCACACTCACCACATTATGCCCATAACAGATTGCTTAGAATCCCGGTCCGTGCCATGCTGATCGAGCGTTTTGCTGAAATAACGTGAAAACAATGTTTGAATAAAAACTTGAAACGAAATTTGACTAGTGTCAAATTTTCTCTGATCCAAACTAGCTTAGATCGATTAAAGTGGTACTGTCCAAAGCGTCTTTGGCGCTTCATTGGTTCATTGGGTAGTAGAGAGCAGGAGGGGAGATCCCATGTCAGCTCCATTGCTTCTCGATTATTGCTGGGATGCTCGTCATTGCACAACGGAGACTCCGGAGACGCCATCGCACTCGCCGCTGAAGGAGCACGATCGCGGCATATTCAACTGGTGTAACCCAAGTAGTCGTTTGAAGTAATCCTCCGTCTGTGCATTAACGACCGGCGGCTGTAACCGGTCCCAACTGTTCACAACGCGAGTGCATAGAGCAAGAATGGGCGTACTTTGAGCCTCCGTGGTTTGAATATTTTCCATTGGTGGCCTCTAGTCGAACTCCCGATGTTGAGGTGGAAGGATTCTTGCAACTCTCTCCCCAGTTCTCCCCTGAGAATACGACGTGTACAAATCAAGTCCCCACGCCGGCGACGGTCATTCATAGAAAACATATTCAAAGGTTGGAGCCGAAGCTGATACGGCAGGTCACGTAACTCGGAGACGAACTTCGATCCACGCCGTTGTACCTTTTCGAGCATGTCGCGCTCAAATTTGGATAGCGGATAGGCAGCAAGGAGGCCATACTCCAGAATCGGGCGCACATGCGAGGTGAACAGAAGTCTAAAAAGTTCCGGTGTCAAGCGACAGAAAGCTCTTCGGATGACTTGAAACATCCTGTAGGCAGCGGCAACCCTCTTCATGGTGTCCTGAGTGGCTCTTAAGTCGGGGGAAACATTCACGCCTAGGTCTCTTGCTGAAGTGACAATTTTGAGCAAAAACCACCTATATGGTAAGCGCCGAATGGTTCAGGCGCGCCGATAGGCAGGACGGAACATTTGTTTTGATTAATGGGTATGCGCCACTGAATCGTCCAACTGTGCAAGGGATCGAGCATCTTTAGTAGTCGATCAACATCATCTAGCGAGGATACCTCCTTCCATATTTTTAGTTCATCCACATAAATCAAGCAATCCGATTAAAGCTCAGACGGTAGGTCGTTGATGTAGATGTTAAGGAGTTCGGGGCCGAGGACGGGGCCCTGTGGAACAACGCTGGTCATATGCACAGGACCGGAATACGTTTCGTTCACTCTCACCAACATGGAACGCGTGTGTACGAAATCGGAAATGCACGAGAGACAGTTTCCAGTGACACCGATTCCTCGCAGTTTGTAGAGAAGCTGATTATGCAGGACCTTATCGAAAGCTTTACTGAAGTCCACGAACACAACGACCAGACGTTTGCTAACCTCCAATGCATTTGTCCATTTTTCTCTAGCCATAAGCAAGTTGGTAGAACAGGAGTGAGCTTTGCGAAAACCATGTTGGGCACTTAATGTCAGATCTATCCGCTCGAGATGAAGCCGAAGCGCCCGTTTCAGGACCCGTTCCATGATTTTGCACACTTCGATGTAAGGCAAATGGGCCGGTAGCTAGCTGGGTCTTACCGGTTTCCTCCTTTATGTATGGGCTTGATGATGCCCATCTTCCAAGTGGTCGGGAGAAGTCCGGACTGAAACGATCGACAGAAAACCTGCATGATGAGTTCAGCAATGTACTGAGGAAAAAGGGGTGCAAGTAGACAGGACCAGGCGATGCGCAAGGCTTCAACTGGCCGAGAAGTTTCAACACGACATCAGTGTTTATATGAACGTGCTGTAACTTAGAAGCGGGTGCACACTGTTCTGTCAGCGAACGACGCTGAGGTTGAGTACACTGAAGCGTATTGCCTCGCTAGGAGACTGGCTATGTCGTTGCCTCCGTGAACTGGATCCCCGTGCTTGGAAGAACACAGGGCAGGGATCCCACTGCCCGCTCTAGTGCTCCGTTTTAGGTAGGAGTAAAGCGTCTTAGGAGTGTTTCTAGAAAGTGTGGCTAAGGAGAGTTCATATTGTTTACGTTTTTGCAGGGCACAAATATTTCTAACCGCTTTGTAACTGTTGTAGTCATGCTCTGATCGTGTGATCCTAAAGCGGTCCCACAACTTATGTCTTCTTTTCATTAGCGATCTCAGTTCACAATCGATCCACGGAGGGCCTCTAGAGAGCGGTCGCTTTTTAGAAATGGGGACAACGTGTCCAATGAGTAATGTCTTCTTGAAGTACAAAAGATTTCACGCACCGTCAACATTGAGATGTTCGTGAATACACCAATCCATATTGCTTGCGACTGCTTTATAACGAAGGGCATCAGCACGCCAGAAATTTCGGCGGACGTCACATGAGTTGTGAATCGTAAAGCGACGAGTCCACTGGAATAAAATAGTACAATGCGCTTTTCCCAATGGGTTGAAAGACTGTTAGGTACATGACGTCAGACTGCGCTGGGGAGAGTACTAGATCCAGGATATGAGGCGACTAGCCGGCGAGAATACGAATCCGCATAGACACATGTTGATACAGGCTGCAGTCGAGAATGGTATCAAGGAAGGCGGCATCAAAGGAATCAGGTGGACGATTGCAAGCAAAGAGGTCCCAATCGATATTAGAAGCATTGAAATCTCCTAGAATACGATAATCCTTACCAGCACCGTGCTTATTGATCAGTTCCAACAAACGAGCTCCCGCGCCCAGTGACGCTCCGTAGATGACACCAATCAAGGAAGATCTGCACCCTTCATGAATGCGGCACCAAAGGGCATCGAATTTGCTGTCCTCGTCACATAAGACCTCAACTAGATGGAACTGCAGGTCCGTCATCCATACAGTATTACGCCGCCTCCAGACTTCCTCCCATGACGATCGGCGCGAGCGAGGTGGTATACAGGGATAAATACTTCAGAGTCAATGCTGTCCTGGAATAACCATGTTTCAGTGGACATTAAATCAGGACCAACAACTGCGGCAAGCGACTGGATCTCATCAAGTTTATTTCGCAGACTACAAACATTAGCGAACAGCACACGTAGTCCGTTCTTTTGCGTAACTGCCCTTGGGTGACAAAAATGGGCCTCCAACGGGTTCTCGTTTTCCGAACTACGCGAAAATCCACGATTTGAAGGTCCGTTTCACCACTCGCCCGACGGGTCCTCAGCCCCTCAACAGCACTTTTCATTTTGTTCCGATATTCCGGGGAGCGATCTCTCAATACATAAAACGGCTTGCCTTTGAGACCTGAGGTCCGTAGGAGAATGTGTCGACATTCTTCCTCGGCTTGGAACAAAGCCTTAAGGGGGCGAGCGTTGAGGGAATCTTCTTGTTGCCTACCTAAGCTGAAAGCCGAGATAATGTTGCTTCCCTGTTCGTCTTCGTCAAATAATACAGAGATAAGTCGCTCTAGGAACACTTGGTCAGCTAACATCCTTCCGGATGGGGCATATTTGGTCGATTCAGGCGCATTCATGATGATGAGACATCGGTCAAGGGAGGTTGGTGGGGTACGCCTGGTGGTATGCGCTTAAGAAGGATTTGTGCTGTATTTGATCAGCGATTCCAAATGGTTAATCTTGTCACGGACAGATTTGAATTGGGACTGAGGGGAGGGAGTCTTGGATTTAGACTTCGACTTAGTCTTAGCGTTGTACATACCACCAGATGCGGTGGTACTTTCGTTTACAACCGATGCGTATGTCTTTGCCTTGTGCTCACTGTGCTGGACGTATTCCAATGGCTCAGAGAAAGAAGCAGACGGCCGGTGACTTCGTTTGCCTGTGGGGGAGGTTGGTACGGAGGCAGGAAGGGGAGAAGGAGGAGTAATCAGGTGGACCTGGGTGTCTGGTGCCTTCGGTTCCGTTGGAAAGGTGTGAGAGCAGACAGAAGCGAGCGCATTCCTAAGACGTCCGTTGTTTAACGAAGTACGGCAGACATCACAAAAGAAAACAACAGCTGGAAAAGTCATCAGCTGTTGTGCTTCATACTGATCAGGACCGATGACACAGCAAGAGATATGCATCCAGCCGTCGCATCCAGAGCATTGTACGGCTTTTGAACGAGAAGTAAATTCTTTAGCGCAAGACAAATTTGGAAGCTATAAAATATGTAGTCCAAATATCTCGCGATTCTCCGAAAACAATCTGGATACGCTTTTCCTCATCAAAAAGACTTCTGTGAACTGGAAAGTTCAGTGGGACATCGCTATTCGCAGCAACAGTCAGTTAACTTTTCCCGTTCCCAGTTTTAATCCCGTTTGCACGCTGTTTTTGTCTTTTTATTGCGGTCGTTTTACCATTGTATACGTAATGTAATTCTACTCTGTTTTCCACATGAGCATGACTGTCTCGCTAAACACCGAGACGGATAAACCTATGGGGTCCTAATTTGATGAGTCTATTGCAGCTTGCGGACAGGTTAACTGTTCAGAGCCAATAATAAATTTATCTGGCGGTTTGCAGTGTGACGTCTGCTGCCTCTGGTATCACCAAAGCTGTACCCGCCTACAAGCTGACCAGTACAAAATGCCATCATCCAGCGTTCACTTTCTTTTCAGCTGTGATGCGTTGCGCTGTACTGTGAGTTCTACGCGGTAACTCGGTTTTTTGGCGTGCCATACTGATCGAGTTTTCTAGCTGAAATATTGTGGAAAACGGTGTTTGAATAAACACGTGAAGCGAAATTTGACTATTGTCAAATTTCCTCTGATCCAAGATACCTTGGATCGATTAAAGTGCTACTGGACATAGCGTCTCCTTGACGCTTACTGGTAATTTTTGCGGTTGTTCCCCTTTTTAATCCCGTTTCACACCCTGTTTTGCCTTTTTGTGGTCGTTTTACGGTTGTATACGTGTTTTTCAATTCTGCTCAGTTTTCCACTTTAAACATGGTCGTCTCGCTAAAAACCGAGGCGGATGAAATCTTTGGGTCCTCGATTGATGAGTCCAATGCAGTTTGCGGCAATTCTGCCTGCTCGAGACCAGTTACGGATTCATCTGGTGGTATGCAGTGTGATGTTTGCTTCCGCTGGTATCACAAAGGTTGCACCGGCCTCCGAGCGAACCAGTACACTATGCTATCATCCAGTGAAAACCTCCTGTTTAGATGTGCTGATTGCTGCACTCAGAAAGCGAAGTGCCCGGCTATCATCTGTGCTGAATTTAAGGCACTGGCATCCAGGTTCACAGTGGTTGAGAAGGCGTTAGTCGGGCTTGCCTCGCTCAACTCTAAAGTGGACTTGATTATGAATTACCTGAGTATTGCAAAGGAGGACTCTGTAGCGGACTGTCCCCCTGCTGACAGTCCATCCCTTGATGGGTCGTTCATCTTACCGGACGCTCCAGTACACATTGAGATAAATGACTCATATGCCTCGGATGGCATTGTTGACCCTCCACAAATGGAGGGCGAGTCACGGGCTCCTGGGCCAGAAAAGAATAGGCGAAAGAGGGCAAGAAAAGTGCGCAAACCCTCCGCACCCAAACCGAGAGGTGAGAAGACGCTCAAGATGCAACCGCCTGAGCGGGAAACACCACCTGGTGATGCGACTCCCTCAGTTTCACCTAAGGTTGTGCAGGCAGGGGGTAAAAAACCCCAGATGTCCACATCGCGTGCTACTCAAACTGCGGCGCCTACTCCAAACACATCCTGTCTTCCAGGGGTACAGGTCGTGGAGGCGGGCATGGACGTTGAGCCACGGGCTTTTTCGCCTGCAGGACGAAAGAGAAATCGGAACAGAACTGCCCGTACTCTTCAGGCAGGTACGAAAAGCGTCAAGAATGACGGGACAAACAAGCTGGAGCTTAAGACGTACGCTACAGTTGCTTCAACGTCGTCTGATAACTTGCGCCCAGTCTCATTGCCTGCGGCTAAGCCGGTTGCGGTTCATGTAAATTCCAAAACCCGTGGGGTAAATACACCCCGTCGAGGTGATTCTTTCATGGATAGCAGCGTGATATTCCGTAACGCAGTGGAATCCACTGCTGCACTTCCTGCCGAACGTACATTGGACGACCTACAGTGGTTTAAGATGTGCGTAACGAAGCTTCTTCCGCCTGGGTTTCCCGGTGTTACTGTCAGGAAACTGACTAGATTGGGTAACGTCCCAGTTAACGCCCCAAACCCTCGACCGCGCTTACTTCGGGTAGTCCTATCCACCCCGGATGAACGCAACGCGCTGTTGCGGTTTGCCTTCAAATTGAAGGGTACTAATGTTAGCGTTCAGCCAGACCTCCCATTAGCGGATAGGCTGAAGCTAAAAGAGGCCATTAAGGACCTCAAAACCAGGCGAGCGGCCGGTGAACAAGGTCTCCGGTTGGTGGGTTTTCGGGTGGTCAGCCGGCGGTCTGTTTCCGCCCTACCAGTGCCAGTACTGGTAGCGCACGACCCAGGGCTGGACATTACGAGTACCTTCAGATAGTGCTAAGCAATGTGCGGAGCCTAAGGAATAAGATGTGCGAGATAGGTCTGCTTGTAGATGGGTCTCATCCCGATATACTTGCATTCACTGAAACGTGGCTGTCTCGGGACATCACGGACGGTGAAGTACATCTGTCTGGCTACGCACTATTTAGATGTGATCGCTTCGTTGGCCGACAAGGCGGGGGCGTTGCTATTTACGTTAGGTGTGAACTTGACGTTTCACGTACCTACATGTTTCAGTCGGCAGATAAAACTGTCGAAGCGCTGTCGGTAGTGATTAACACTTCCTCAGCTCAACTTACAGTTGTACTTGTGTATAGAAGCCCTGGGAGTGCGTCCAAAGAGGTGCTTGACTTTATTCGCTCCCAATCCGCAAACAGGTGTTTGATACTGGGGGATTTCAATCTACCAGAAGTTTGCTGGGCAGATCTTTCTTGCAACTCGGCAGAAGGTACTTTCGGGGCAGATCTACTTGAGCTTACGCTACAAGTACCGTTGCATCAGTTCGTGGACCTCCCCACTAGGTACATGGACGCCCAACTCCCGTCTATTTTGGATCTAGTGTTTGCCAAGTCACTAGACTTCGTAGGGGACATCACTTACAGCTCTCCCTTAGGTGCTAGTGATCATGTTTGTTTATCGTTCAGGTGTACTCTGACCAGGCGTCACCAGAGCATTGCTAAGCCATTTCCAAACATATGGCGTGCTAACTATCAGGCAATGCGTATCAAGGCTGCTGGGATGCGTTGCGAAATCTCGGTGGTTGATACGGTTCAGGCGGCCTGGGATAAATTTAAATCTTATCTCACGGAAGTGTCTACTCCCTACATCCCGCTTGCGAGGAGAAAGGAGACACGAGCGCGGCCGCCGTGGATAGATACCACTGGCAAGTACCTGCTCCAGAAGCGTTCTAGGTGCTGGAGGACCTACCGTGCGGCTCCATCAACTAGCACCTATGATAGATACCGCGAGGCTAGAAATAGGTGTAAACAACACTTAAGGAAAGCTCGGCTGGTGTACGAAAAGGAATTGGCTGATGGAGCTTCGGAAAATCCGAAGTTCTTCGCTTATGTTAAGAGACGCTGTGGTTCAACTTCGGTAATCCCAACTTTGATGCGGGCCGATGGAACTCGTGCGTATGCGGACTCAGATAAGGCTCGTGTACTTGGGGAACAGTATGCAGGGGCTTTTGTACGTGAGGCCGCGTTGACTAGCCTTGAACTTGTCCCCAGAGTACCTGAGGGTTCTTATTTAGCTGAGTTTACTGTGGTGGAAACGCAAGTCCTTAAACTGCTGCAAGAACTGAACCCTTCCAAAGCAGCTGGACCTGATTCAATTCACCCGAAGCTTCTGCATGAGTTGGCGGGGGAACTAAGTGGACCGCTGACGATGGTGTTTCAGAAGTCACTTGACAGCTGTACATTACCTTCTGAATGGAAGGAGGCTGTCATCTGTCCTATCTTCAAAAATGGCGACAGGAGTCTGTCAGCCAATTATAGGCCAGTTAGTCTGACTAGCGTCGTGGTCAAACTGCTTGAAAAGCTGGTGAGAGATTCGTTGGAATGTCACCTGAATAGATTTAATCTACTCAGTAGTGCACAACATGGATTCCGGAAGGGGTTTTCGTGTTTGACGAATTTGTTGGTTGCTCGTGAAGCTTGGGCCGAGGCAATGAACAATGGCCACGTAGTGGATGTGCTTTTCGTAGACTTCTCGAAAGCATTTGATAAGGTACCCCACTTGAGGCTATCACAAAAGCTGAGGTCCTACGGCGTATCTGGCCGCGCCCTTCACTGGGTATCTGCGTTCTTGCAGGGAAGAGAGCAGTGTGTACGTGTGGGTCGCAGCTTATCCTTTAGGCAAGCGGTCCTTAGCGGTGTCCCACAGGGCTCGGTCCTTGGACCGATGCTGTTCTCCATCTACGTAAACGATCTCCCTGGAGAGCTTGGGGTATCATCCCTATTGTTTGCTGATGACCTTAAGCTATGGAATGTTGTAAATGTTCCTGGGGGTTCTGAGGCCATACAGCATGCACTGGACAGACTCTGGGACTGGTCTACTTTGTGGCTACTGCCCATAAATCAGGCTAAGTGTTCCGTCCTTCGTATAGGAGCAACTTTCCCGCCTTCGAGCTACGTACTCGGTGGGGTCGAACTCCCCCTTGTCTCCAACCAGGTAGACCTAGGCGTCGTCCATTCCTCGTCTTTGCATTCTGGTGACAACTGGAAGAAGGCCGCAAGTAGGGGTTTCAGAATGTTGTGGTTAATACGCCGTTCTTTCGGGGTCTTAACTGCCGACATATTTGTGAAGCTGTTCTCAGCTTTCGTCCGGCCCCATCTGGAATACTGCGTCCAGGCTTGCCCGCCCTGCCTTGTTCGGGACAAAATGGAGCTCGAGAGGGTTTTGAGAGTAGGTACCAAATTGGTCGAGGGGTTACGGGGGCAATCGTACCCCGAGCGTCTACTTAGCTTGGGTATGTATTCAATGCACTACCGACGGCTTCGAGGAGACCTAATCCTTACTTACCGCATTTTAACAGGGAAGGTTGGACCGGACTTGAGCTGGCTATTTAGCCCGGCTAGGTTGCCTTGTCTTCGCGGTCATCCCATGAAGCTACACAAGCCGCGTTCTGACCGGATCAGGGCGGAAACTCGGTTATCGCGTAGAGTTATCGAGCGCTGGAACTCGCTTCCAGAAAGTGTAGTCAGTGAACCTACGGTTAAGGGTTTCGAGCGTCAGTTAGACGCTCTTGGGTGGCAACACGAAACCTTTCCCTTCTCCTGACCATATCCATCTTCAAACTTTTAGTTCTTATTCTGTCATTCTCTTCACTCTTTGGTGTTATCCTTCATTTTAATGACTTTCATTCCCCTTTATCTTCCATTTACTTTCTACTTCTTTCTTACTTCACGTAACCTACACAGCGGGGACTGCTAGTGCAGGGAACGTGGGCAGTAATTGGTTGATCAGGGTGTGTTTCGTTTTAGATCTATCAAGAACTAGCACCTTATCATTTCCTGGCTCAACGATTTGCTCAAGAAGGAACACTCAAGGGATTTTCCTATCGTTCCAGTCCATCTGAATCTGACGCGTCCGGCTATCACCGGTGCTAAACTTTCAGCGCTGGCTTCAAGGTTGGCAGATGTTGCGACGATGATAACCAAACTCGCCTCTATTGCGCCGCTCGATACGAAAATGGATTTGATTTTAAAATCCCTGAATATTTCCATTGCAGGTACTGCAGTAGACTGCAACATTGCTTACGATCCATCTACTGGGATCTGTCACTCGGTCATGAAGTCGCACATCCTACCGGCCAATCCAGGTAGCATTGCTGGCTATCCTCATGAGCCCATCAAAGTGAAGAAAAATAGGTTGCGGAAATACCAGAAGCCCTCTGCTGAACCCAGAGAATTTGTTGCCACGGCATCGAAAAAGAGGCCGTCTTTGACAGTCATAAAGTTGTCTGACGGTTGTGCACAGGATAACATTCCGATGATGCTGACCGTCTCGGCTGCCACTGAACCAGCCCATTCTGACGAAGTGCTGGTAACTGCTCAATGCGATACTAGGTCAACGTCCCCTGCTCCAGTGAACCAGAAGAAGAAGCGGACTAGATCTGCTCGTAAAACTTCGAAGGGGCTTGAAGACCCAGGAACTAGTAAGGCGCCGGAAATAGAGCGGAAAGCCTACGCTAACGTTGCTTTTACGTTGTTTGTGAAGACAGGAACAGTCCCACCGCCATTGGTGAAAACAGCTAGTATAGGTGTCGACTCCAACGCACGTGGGGTAAACACTTTGTCGTGCCGACTCTCACTCATAGTAGCGTTATATTCCGTAACGTTACTGAATCTGCGGCCGCTCTCCCAAGGGAACGCATCTTGGATGACATCAAGTGGCTGCAACTGTGTCATCAAGCTGCTTCCATCTGGCTTCCCTGGTGTCACTGTAAGAAAGCTGACCAGATTAGGGAACGTCCCTATCGCTACGTCAAATCCACGACCTTGACTACTTCGCGTGGTCCTTTCTACCTCGGAGGAGCGCAAATCATTACTGCAGTTTGCATTCAAACTTAAGGGTAGTGGTGTCAGCGTTTAGCCGGACCTACCACTTGCAGATAGATTGAAGTTAAAGGAGGCTATCAAAGACCTCAAAACTAGACGGGCGACTGGTGAGCCAGGCCTCCGTCTAGTGGGTTTTCAGGTCATCATCATCAACAGCAGTACATCAGCCATTTGCGCTGATGCTTCGCTGCCATGCAACCATGAGGATCTATGAAATAAAGAATAAGAAGAGGGAGAGAAAGGCGACTTACCTGAAAACCTTAGTGCCCTAAGCAAACATTCAGGATCAACGCGTCTTCACCTTGTGTAGACAACATACCGTCACCAACCGCTGGCTATCGCGCAAAGATAAGGCGGTATTGGCGAGACAGCTTCCATGCGGCTTTCACTGCCACGCGTCACAATCAGCCATTACCCCGCAGATAACTTAGCACCAAACGCACCTTAAACAGGCAATCCGGACTAGGAGACGGCAGCACACACGTCACTGGTGTCTACTGCAAGCCATGTCCTGTAAAGTCTCGAGCTAAGCACAAGACGAGTCACGTAGACTCCAGCCAGGAAGACGAGACGGATCAACGGTATCCAGTTTGGTCGTCATTGACTTCATTTCCCGCTTCCAGGTCAACTTCTGTCCACCTAGAGCCTTGCGCCACCCTACATCTGGCAGACTAAACAAGGCCCTCCTAAGTAAGCGGTGACCAGGCATACGTAGCACGTGCCCGAGCCAACGCAACTTATTCAGTGCTATCAGTTGTTCTAGGGGGCTAGCATGATTATCGCCACCTAGTACTCACCTATGCACATCATCGTTGCGGACACGCTGCTGCCATCCGACTCCAGCAATGCTCCGCAGACAACGATGACCAAAGACTTGAAGGCGCCTCAGATCTTCAGACCGAAGGGGTCAAGTCTCACTACCATAGAGCAGAACGGCCCTCACTGTGGCCTTGTATACCCGGCATTTCAGATGTAGGGAAACTCCCTTCTGTCGCCAAAGATGCCGCAGGTTCAGGAAGGCAGTTCTGGCCTTTGCAGTGCGTGAGATGACGTGAGTTTCAATGCGCCCATCATTGCTGTTGCAGCTGCCAAGATAAGTGAATTGAGCAACCACCTCGAGTTCCTCGTTAGCAATTGTCAAGGGGTCATCAAGTGGCTGGTGATCCTGCAGCAACACTTTGCACTTTGAAGTTGCGAAGTGCATACCAAATAATGGGACCACTCTGGACAGGCTATTCAGGGTTGATTGGACCGCCCCAACATTGTCGAAAAGCAAGACGATATCGTCCGCATAATCTAGATCAATTAACCTTTCACCAGGAAGCACTTCAACGCTTACATCATGAGATTCCGCAAGGGAACACTCCACGATAGAATCCACGACGAAATTGAACAAAAATGGAGAAATCGGACAACCCTGACGAACGCCACTTGTGGTCTGAAAGCTATCCGACAGGTCACCGTAGACCCTGATGCGGCCTGTAGTGTTCGAGTGTAGAGCACGAAGGATGTTCACATATTTTGTGGGAACACCTTTCCGCGCAAGTATTTTGAACAGAATCGATCGACCGACTGAATCGAACGCAATCTTGAAATCGAGGAACATAGCTATTGTCGGTCTGCGGTATGCGTGGCGCTGCTCTAGCACTTGTCGCAAAGTAAATATATGGTCCATACAGTCACGTCCTGGGCGGAAAGCGGTCTGCTCTTCCATAATCCGAGCTTCCCGTTCCACAGTGAGGCGACGAACGATGATCAAAGCCAATAATTTTGTTACAACTGGCGTTAGGCTAATACCCCTGTGGTTAGAACAGTCTGTGCGACTGCCCTTCTTGTATATTGCCACTATAACCGATTCGCTCCAATTAGCCGGGACACTTCATTCCAGATGCGTTCGAATAGGATGGTCAGTGCTTTGCAGAGAACCTCACCTCCATCCTTATATAGTGCAGGTTGGAGGGAATCCGGGCCAGCGGCACGAAAACGATTGAAGGCTGTGATCGGGTTTCGGACCTCGGCATCCGACGGAGACTCTAAAGTACCGTCCATGGCTCCTTCCGCATCACCTGAGTAGGAAGAGATCCTGGAGCAGGTGGCCAGCTGAACTGGTCTTGAAAGTGTTCCACCCAATGAGCCATACGGCGCTCCTTATTGTGTATCAGCGCACCCGCGCTGTCTCTGATTGTCTCACTGACTCCTGGTTTTCTGAAACTAGTGGTGCGGATTAGCTGGAAGAGCTTGCGGAATTGACTACTGCTCCTGCCTCCTCCATTTCTTGAGCCCTACTGGTCCACCAGGCTTCCTTGTCAGCACGTAGGCTCTGCTTTAGTTCACGCCTAATAGCCCATCTGGTCACATTGTGTTCAGAGCCAGCCGGGAGGTGTCTTCTAGATTCCAACAGGTTCACTGACCTCTCGGATATCCAGTGACTGGTTCGGTGACCATTAATAGTGCCACAAGCAGATGCTCCTGCGTCGTGCATGGTGGCCGAGATCCTATTCCACTGATGCTCAGTGTCATTAGGCCAAGGCAGCGGAAGTTCGGTATGCAGTGCTTCTTGCTAGGCTTGCCTGACCGAGGACTGAGACAATTTCTCAGTTGCCAATCGTAGGGGACGCTTGGTGCGCCTCCCGGTAAAGTTCATGGAGAAACGACAGCGTACCAAGGCATGATCAGAGTTGTCACAGGTACTCCAGTACGAGCGGCAATCCAGGATGGAACCACGCCATCTGTAACTTATAGCTATGTGGTCAATTTGGGTCCATCGCTGGCCAGCTACAGGAGGACGCCAAGTGTCACTTCGGCGCCCACTGTGTCTTAAAACAGTGCTACTAAGAAACAACTGGTGCTCCGCACACAGTTGCAGCGGACACTCACTATTGTCAGTCCGTTCGGAGTTAAGCCCACAATTACCACCCACCTGAGCTTCTGAAGAGCTCAGACGCCCCGCAAGTACTATAATATCTGAACTAGTAACACTGCGTAGTAGCGCGTTCACTTTGTCATAGAATGTGTCCTTGACAACATTTGAACTGCAGTCGGTGGGAGCAGAAACGGAAATCACAAACAAACAGCTTAGAATGATACCTACACCAGCTTGACCCGTGAGTGCTGCATCAGCGTCTCCGGATGCGTGCAACCAGTAACCAGAGGATAAGCCAGGTGCAGTTAGTTCAATAACCCCGTTAGGGTCATTGATCTTAGTTTCGGACGCACAACACACATCAATACCCAGTGTGTCCAAGGTGAGTGCGAGTGCAGCCTGTTGACCTGTTTGTCTTAGAGTGCGAACGTTGAATGTCGCCATGGAAACGGGATAGCATGGCTTTATAAGGGACTTTAGCCGATAGGCGTCCGATAAGTGCGGTGGGATGGTGGCTGCAGATGGTTCTACTCCAGTGGCACTTCGATTGCTGTCAATTAAGCTGGGAATTATAGAAGGAAGGTTGGTAATGGGGGTCGGGATGGGAGTAAGAGAAAAAGGTGGAAAAGAAAGAAGGGAGGCGCCAGAAGTAGCATGTTTTCGCTTATCCACCCTGCTGTATGCAGCAGATAAGACGACCCTTGATAATCTGCGCGACGGCCGATGCAGGATGAAGTTTATGTTTGAAGAAAATGTCATGGTTGCATGTGGGCTAAGATACTTCCAGGACGCACAGACCTGGACAGGAGGATGATTAGGATCCTCATCCAGAGCATTTGGCTCAAAAGCCTGTCCGAAAGGCAGCGGGGAGGTGAAAATGATTTAGTTTTACAGAAATGGACGCCATCCCATTTCAAACCCCCAACGTGGAGGACCAGGAGACTGAGTTTGTCTGACCTCTCACCACTGACCAGCCTGGTAGGAGTAGCTCTCAAGGTGCGCGGAGGCACCACCCAGTATAGCTCAATGGGTCAATGAGGTACGCAAACCGTCGCACCACGTTAAGGTCCAGTCTCGTTGCGACGGGGGTTTTCAGGTGGTCAGCCGGAAGTTATTTTCCGCCGTATCAGAACCCATCCTGATGGCGCACGACCCAGGGA